TCTTGTCGGATTAGCGAGATTATTCTATCACGACGGTGACATAAAGAGCGGTCTTAATGTCACCACTGGGAGTTCCGTTACGCACGTTTAGGCGCGATACGACTCTCAGCACAAACCAATTTCATTCTAGACGAAAGTAATGGTGGCAGAGATGAACGAGGGTGTCCCTAGGTGCATATTGGGTCAAATCAATACAACTGAGATAGTTAAGGGTAGCCTAGGCTACTGTAGATGAGTTCTAAAACATTCATTTTCTTGTTCTAATCTCTAGTTGGGCAGGTAGCCAAAAGGTTATAGGTTCAGACCTTCGATGAACTATAGTAATTTACCCCAGTGGGACTTTGACTGTAATAAGTGTAGTAGGCTACTTTGGGCAAAAGATAAAAAAGTGTACCTTGAAGAATCCTTTGCACCCCTCGCATGTGCGCACCCCGTAGTGCTGGCAGGCTGCATTGTCCCCGCACACAGCGCACAAACCCTCGCTGAATGGAGATCCTCTAGCCGGAGGTGAGGCCACCGGGCTTTCCAGTAAAGGGTGTCCGACGTTAAGCGAATGGGATAAACCCACAGCGTGCTGTTTCCTCGGAGGTGCCGGTAAAGCAAAACTGTCCAGCGCACGGTGCGCACCCGGGGTGTCCGCGCCCATGGACACGTGCAGAGATCCATCGAAGCGCATCTGGCAGCTTGACATCGGCGTGTCCACAGGAGACTGCTTGAACGAGAACAACCGAGACATCGCGTTTTTCCGCTGCTGGTCTATCATGTGTGAAGTCGCCAGGTAGTTCTGATGAAAACTGTTAAGGGACCCGCTGTCTTCCCACGTGTGGTGTGGAGGCGCCGGGAAACTGTGTGACTGGGAGATGTTTGGGGAGGCTGGTTTATAGTATACAGGTCCGGTATGTTGTAGGCTCTCCTCAGCCTGGTGGGGCTGATGCTGCTGCTGCTGATGGTAGCTGTGTGCGGGTATCTCCTCCACCTTGATGGACAGCTGATCTCCAGAGTGGGACATTTGGTAGAGGCAGGGAGGCTTCACGTCGTAGCCGGAACTGTAGGTGTCCACAAAGGTGCTGAAACTGGGGAGCGAGGAAGTGACAGCTATTTCTGCGTTAGTCAGGTCCATGCTAAACTTGACAAACTCCGGTGTTAGGAAGTCGCAGTTGTACTCTCCCGTGGTGTTGTAGCTGTAACTCTGAGATGCAGGGCTGGCTCCTGGAGGTGATGTCCCATACTGAGCCTGGACGCAGGGCATGGCTGCAGTGTTAGAGAACTGAATTGTTATGGCTTTCTCTGACAGGGTGCATAATATTTGTTCAAATGTTTTATAGTTTCACGCGTTTGGAAATAAGTGTTTATTTATACGCAAATAAAAGATAATTTATTTTTATTCAGTTTTTTTTTCCATCGGAAAGAATGTATGCAAACTTTCTGACATAGCCTACATTTCCCTGGCCTGCTTCAGTTTACCTCCGCACACCTGCTACTTTTATCTCTCGTGGAACAATCTCTGAAGTCAGGGCTCGTAACAGGAGTTGATGTCAGAGCGTGTCTCTCCGTTCTTTTGCTTTTCTGTGAAATACATATTTTGTCATTAGTAAAAACATCTTCATATATCTTACGCTTTAAGCATGTCAGTGCGAGTGTACTTGATATATTTTTGTAACATCAAGGCACTCAGATGACTTCAACCTAACTTTAAAAATGGATCTTAAGGTGTTGGCAATATTAAAATTCATATTTTTAAAAGATAAAACCTAAAAATAAAGGCTAAAGTTAAGAAACGGTCACGTGTTTAATAGTAGATTTATTGCTTTACAATTCTTCCCACAACTTTATTTTTAAACTTACATACCTCAAATCGCTATTAAATAAGTTGCAAATGATGTATCCATGTAGCTGTTCCTGTTGATAGAAGTTCCGTCTGCATGTAGAGCCACTGCCGCTGTCGACAGCACGCGAAGACTGGAGCCCGAGCGCAATGTGCCTTTGTTTATGAGAACTCTGAACGCCACAGCCCACGTGCTAAGAGGGCGTGACGTCCGGCGCGTCACCCCTTGACGCGAGCTGATCGCTGGACAGAGGGACTGTTCTTCAATCGTCCGCGCGTTTGCATTGCGTGGACTGTCCACTGGGTCAAATGAGTTGAATTTCCTACACATTATCTGTTTCCCAATATAGAAACCACCCACAGGAGATCAGATCTCAAAAGCAATGAACTGAAATTTTGTTACTATTTTGGGGACTCGCCAGTCAGCATAGGCACATATCAAACTTTATCTGCCGTTATATCCAGTTCATAAATGAATGCAGCAAAAAATGCCGAAATGTTTTTTTTTACAGACACACTTAAAGAAAAGAAAAACAACAAATTAGGAATAAAAAATAAATAGATATGGAGAAGGGAGCAAAACACAGCAAATTGCTATGTTGCCATACTTTTAGAGAATTTGGATGGGGGAAATCCATTAAGTTTTGAAAATGAAATCCAAGAAAAAAATTATTAAAGAACAAATACAATAAAATGTCGCTTTATAACCTTGAACCTACCGATGCAGGGCTAGAAACCAGTGTTGGGGAAAGTTACTTTTAAAAGTAATGCGTTACAATATTGCATTACTCCATAAAAAAAGTAACTAATTACGTTACTTGGTTACTTTTTATGGAAAGTAATGCGTTACGTTACTTTTGCGCTACTTTTAAAATCTGGACAGGGCTTGCTTGTTCGTTTTTAAAATAAAAAAGTTCTATTTTTGGCAAATATAAAAGCCTTTTCACACCAAAAGTGAAAGGAATAAGCCTCAGGCCGAAGAGAACAGTACAGTAGAATGCAGAAGAAGAACATTGGTTAATAGAATGGGAATAAATACAAAAAGGATATTTGTGTCGTTTAACATTTAATTATTGCAGGTTTGCGTCATATTCTGAGTTGCATTATTTTTATTCATTTTGAGGAATATCTGCGTGTTTTTTTTTTTGTGAGTGAGATTAATTAATGCATATTCATATTTATTTTAGAACTACAGTAACATCTTCTGATTTCTCTCAACATGGGGACAGGAGAGCTGTCAATCAATAAATTGAAAAAAAAAAAAGTAACTCAGATATTCTTGTGTAAATTAAAAAGTAATGCGTTACTTTACTAGTTACTTGAAAAAAGTAATCTGATTACGTAACTCTCGTTACTTGTAATATATTACCCCCAACACTGCTAGAAACACTGTTCAGTAGTGACGCCATATCTGTTTCACCTGCATCATACTTAGGGAAAGTTTCAATAGATTAGGATGTGTTTCATCTGATTCCACTGCGCTCTCTCTGAGCGGTGAAGGGTTTCCATTGTGAGAAGGGAATCCCGCTGTAACAGAGGCAACTTTGTTTGGACTGAAGCAAGCTGCGTCATCACTACGTCAGCAGCTTCCAGCTCCGTGACGCTTGATGCGCTCGCGCTGAACTTTTTTTAGGCTGAAAGTCTCACCTGTGTAACTGACACGATAAAGTGCCTTGCAAAGAATCTACATTTTTTGGTAAACATTCTAAAGTGCATGCTGTCCTATATATAGTGCCTCAGTTAAGCTATTCTTTGACATTTCATAATAGAGAAAGAAAATTAGCTGTAAACAACTGAGTAATATATTATTCTCAGATAAAAATACTTGTCTAAACATACACTCAACATAACTACAGGTGCATCTCAATAAATTAGAATGTCGTGAAAAAGTTCATTTATTTCAGTAATTCAACTCAAATTGTGAAACTCGTGTATTAAATAACTTCAATGCACACAGACTGAAGTAGTTTAAGTCTTTGGTTCTTTTAATTGAGATGATTTTGGCTCACATTTAACAAAAACCCACCAATTCACTATCTCAACAAATTAGAATATGGTGACAAGCCAATCAGCTAATCAACTCAAAACACCTGCAAAGGTTTCCTGAGCCTTCAAAATGGCCTCTCAGTTTGGTTCACTAGGCTACACAATCATGGGGAAGACTGCTGATCTGACAGTTGTCCAGAAGACAATCATTAACACCCTTCACAAGGAGGGTAAGCCACAAACATTCATTGCCAAAGAAGCTGGCTCACAGTCTGTGATGATTTGTGGTGCAATGTCATCTGCTGGTGTTGGTCCATTGTGTTTTTTGAAAACCAACGTCACTGCACCCGTTTACCAAGAAATTTTGGAGCACTTCATGCTTCCTTCTGCTGACCAGCTTTTTGTAGATGCTGATTTCATTTTCCAGCAGGATTTGGCACCTGCCCACACTGCCAAAAGCACCAAAAGTTGGTTAAATGACCATGGTGTTGGTGTGCTTGACTGGACAGCAAACTCACCAGACCTGTATTGTCAAGAGGAAAATGAGAAACGAGAGACCAAAAAATGCAGATGAGCTTAAGGCCACTGTCAAAGAAACCTGGGCTTCCATACCACCTCAGCAGTGCCTCAAACTGATCACCTCCATGCCACGCTGAATTGAGGCAGTAGTTAAAGCAAAAGGAGCCCCTACCACGTATTGAGTACATGTACAGTAAATGAACATACTTTCCAGAAGGCCAACAATTCACTAAAAATGTTTTATTATTGGTCTTATGCAGTATTCTAATTTGTTGAGATAGTGAATTGGTGGGTTTTTGTTAAATGTGAGCCAAAATCATCCCAATTAAAAGAACCAAAGACTTAAACTACTTCAGTCTGTGTGCATTGAATTTATTTAATACACGAGTTTCACAATTTGAGTTGAATTACTGAAATAAATGAACTTTTCCAAGACATTCTAATTTATTGAGATGCACCTGTATACATGCGGTCCAAATCCATTTAGTCCTGAGAGTTAAACAGTGTCTTAAGTGTGTTTGTACACCGTCCCTCATAAAGGATGGTCTAACAAAACGCCTTTCTATTCCAAGTGGACACGCCTTCCTAAAATTGATTGGACGAGAGATGTGAATCCTCTATACTGATTTGTCCATCCACCTGTCTGTCAAATACTTCCTGTCATCGTACTTCCTGGATTTCTGAATAAGTAACATTGTAACATCACAGTTGACACCGTCACTGTCCATGATTTTCCTTTTTAGACATCATCATCATCATCATCACCATCGCCAAAACCAGTAAGTAAAAACCAGGGTTCTCGGCATATTATGTGTTGTATTAATTGCCGTCGATCGTCGAGCCTGTCCGATCTGTTCTTGGATGCGAGCCAGCCACTGTTGCTCCAGCCCATAATGTGTCAGTTCTTGAAATGTATGTCATAGAAATTGCCTCATGATAAGTTCAATTCAAAGCTGTATTTGTTTTATGTTATCGCACGATGTACTTGCAACGAGCCCGATGGGTGATGGTTGATTCGATGTCTATAATAGGGTTCATGTGAGTTCATGTGATGGAGTGGATGGGTTAAATGAGTCTGTATTCATCACTGTTGTCTTTAAGAACTGAGAATAAAGGCAACTCTTCTGATTTTTCTAATGGAGTGAAAACGGTTTAAGGTAAGATTGTAGAGATGTAATAGGCTGACTTTAGCCTGAATTACTGTACATGTTCACACTTCAGTCTAGGAGTCTCATATTCGCTTGATTCTCGTACAATGAACTGTAAAATAATAACCTGTAAGATCACTCTCAGACGTTATGGCTCCTCTCTCTCTATGCACATAGTTTGCCATAAATGGACCATGCGGGACAGGCGTGAAGTCAAGCAGTGTAGTAAAAATGACTCATTCACTTCCTCTAGTATCATGTAGTGAAATGACTTGCATCCCTACCCAGAGATTGATTATGGCTTTACTTTGACCTTCACCAGAGATTTCAGTCAGTTTTAGGATTCATACAGTAGTTGTTTAGCTACACAAACTGGTCGTGGACATATCAGTTTTGTTTCATTTTGACACAAAACACTTGTGAGTTGTGAACAAGTGTTACAGGTTTGTTTCATTTTATCATGCCAAGGTAAGGGAATGTGATAGAGGTGATAAGGAAGATATTTTATTCTGTTTTCCTTTTCTTTTTAGCTTCTCAGTATGACTGACTTTTATAGCAATGTATTTTCTTTATAATTATCAGAAAATCAGTCATGTTTTCATAAAGTAACCTTGAGCTGTATTGGATATGTTCTTTACGATTATTTTTATACCCTACATACACTCTTTGTCAGTCCTTTACAAGTTATGTTTTCTCTTTTTATAACTTGAGAATAGCTAATTTTAGTTAATTGAGTATAATTTGAAGACATCAGAAAGGAGTCAGTAGCAGGCAATTATAAAACAGAACACACTTAAAAAAAAATTCAAGGGGTCATATCTTATCTATTCACGATCAGCTTGTAACACTCCAAAGAGAAAGGAAAACTTGAATATGACCCCTTTAAATGATCTAATTGTTTTCATGCATAAACACAATGACATCATTATGTTAAATCCTTATGTTTTTTTTAAAACTGTATTATTTATCTTAATAATATACATTATAAATGCACAGTACATTGTAAAATGCATATCAGGAAGGGATACTAATATGATGTTTTCTGAATGTTTTCTGTTTCCAAAGGCATTTATTCAAAAATCTTCTTAATTTTTTAATCTGTTTCAGGGATCAATGGCTTTCAGAAAGGCAGTGAAGGGAACCCTAATAGGGGGCGGAGCTATAGCAACAGCCTTCGGCCTATCACAGTTCTTTGAATACAGGAAGAATCAGGTATTGTTTTAAATAGCATCAGTGTTGTTGCTCTACCTTATTCCATCTAAATATAAAGATTTGGCAAATTCTTTTGACAAATACCAAACATTTTATTTTCACATCTCACATTCATACAGTGACTCCTACAGGTTAGACTGCAGAATACACAGACCACAGCTGTTCAAACCCATCTGTACCACAGCATGTCTTGTCCTGATTCAGGAATGTTCCCTATGTGTTCATACAACCTTAAAGGTACCGCCTTATTCAGGACAGTATAACTCTGGCCCCATATTTTGATCTTAAAGCAATGATCAATTTATAGCTATTTATAACTATTCCTTATTTATAATTCATAAAGGTTTATTCTTGTTTTCATGTGGTCAACAAACGTATGGGACAGATTTCTTGAATGAGTGCTACAAATCTTATTAAGATTAGACTTATAAATCCAGATACATTGGAAAACCTCATTTGCACCTTTAGGTACTGTCTCAAGTCTCCAAACTTACCCCGTTCTCTCTCTAGGGTAGACCACCGTATTAAAATCAGGTTTTGTTTGCTAAAGGGAGATTACACTTGAACAGTGATACACACATTGTTTAAAGGATCTCTCTTGAATATGTAATCATGAACAATCTGAATCCCATTCACGCCATCAGGGAGTGTGTCACACACCATGTTCTGTCCGTATTTAAACTAGTAAGAACCTCAGGGGTCTCGTCTGTTTAGATGCTATACCAAATAACGGAAGGTCAAGTAGATTAAGATAATCAACAAGGCTTTCTGAAACAATTGAAGAAAAAAAGACAGACCCTTGAAGAGCAATGGGAGTCCTGATTTTCTCTCTCATCATTTATTTAAATCTTCCCAAGCCCATTTTGTCCATTATCTTGCATCTCAACTGTTCCAATCCCAATGAAACTCCAGGGAGTGAGAGAATTGTACGCACTCAAGGACATGGTTTCCATGGAGATTGTCACTACACGATTAATTTGTCAAAAAAATAAATAAAAAAACAGTTAAAGAAGATCTTGATATTTTTTCTAACCATCTTCAAATTTTGTTACCAATATGAACACTCTGCAAGACTTCATTGGATGTACTGCGGCAGTCAATCAGATCACCTTCACGTCACATTTGCAACCCATGTTAAGCGTTTCACTGACACAAACTTTTGTTCTGATGTTTCTCCATTTATTTGTTCATTTATCCCTTGTGTCATCTCAATGCAGCCTAAATGGGTAAGCAAAAGTCAAAAGAGAAAGAATGAATCTTCTTTCAAAAATTGCTTGCAATCATGCATGTGGCAGATGCTAATCTTTGGGATTGTAATGTAAATTTAGTGAGCGTGTGTGTGTGTTTGTGAGTGCCGGTTTGTCTCCTCTATGGCAAGGGCACTGTTACACTCTGGCTGAAGTATCACTCTGCGGTAGCCGATTGCATATTTGCATGAAATTCTCTGTTTCCGTCATGCACTAGTCCTGATTGCAGGACAGCCCCTCTTAATAGTGTGCGGATGTTTTAAATATGTGTGTCCTTGGAAATAGACACTAATTACTGAATCTTGTTTTTACATGATATTACTGTCTAAATTGCAAATGTCTGGGCTCATTTGGTCATTTGCAAGTCAAATGGACTCTACGGGCTTTTGGGGGCAGATTGATGTAATAATTTAGGCCAAATGCTAACGAAAAAATGAATAAAACGTTTCATTATGGCTAAAACCCTCGACACCTAGCGTAGCCCAGGCTTGTTTTCTCTTCATTTGAATTTTGCGGGGGTTTTTGCCTTCATGCGACCGATAGCTTGGCAGCTATTCATTCACAATTTCATAGTCCCTCTGCTTGACTTTATAAGAAAATGAACAGTTGATTTAGTTTAAATACCTAAACTGATATCAAGCTTAAGTATAACATATCACATATTGCTGTCTGTTATAATATGAAAGGTCACAGTGCAAGTTGCCATAAAGTGTGACCATGTCATGAATGCTAATTTTATTTATTGTTTTAGTTCAACTCCCTTGAAAATAAAACTATCATTGTAACCTAGAACTAACTGAACTAGAACTTTGAAAACCCAACATTTGAGATGAGCAATTATGCATTCTGCTTAATTCCTATGTCTTGGCATGCTGACTAACATAATGTTTTATGAAATGTATTCTGTCGTCTTGATGTGAGTGATTATTATGAAAAGTGCATGTTCAGTGTTTCTCTAGTAAATTTCTAGACATGTTTTCTTGTCTTATTTAATCGAAATGAATCTGTTTTAATTTAATTTAATTTATTATCATTATTTAGTGTTGTCAAACGATTAATCGCATACAAAATAAAAGTTCCCTTTCATGGGAACTTCGAACTGCGTCCTCTAGGGGTCGCTATGGGAAACCTAGAGGACGCAGTGTCTCGTTCCCTACTCAGGGAACCATGGTTACACAAGTAACCTGAGACGTTCCCTTTCATGGGAACTTCGAACTGCATCCTCTAGGTTTCCCATAGCGACCCCTAGAGGATGCAGTGTCTCGTTCCCTACTCAGGGAACCATGGTTACACAAGTAACCTGAGACGTTTTTGTTTGCATAATATATGTGTGTGTTCTGTTTATATTTATTATGTATATATAAATACACACACATACAGTATGTATTTTGAAAATATTTACAAGTCTATATTTATATTCCTATAATTTATATTATAAATACATATATTTAATATATAAACATAAAAAAAAAATCTGAAATATATACATGCGTGTGTGTGTGTGTTTATATATACATAATAAATATACACAGTACACATACATATATTATGCAAACAAAAACTTTTATCTTGGATGCGATTAATCGCGATTAATCGTTTGACGGCACTAGTTTATTTGTGAAAAGTTGTCTGTTTTCTAACTTCAGCGGTTTCCTCAGGCAGTCATCCTTCCCGTCCTCAAGGGTCATTCACCTCTCACTCCTTTTACTGTGCTGGATTCGTCTGTTTGTGGGTTTATAGGCTTGTCTGTAATGATAGGGATCATATAATGAGTACTTGAGGAGTCCTTGGTCGCTTGGTACGGGCTGGTGTAATGACTTCAGCAGAGATAATGTTGCCTCACCTCCAGTATATCCCAGCCTACGGTGGCTTTGCACTGAAGCACCTTATCGCCCTTTACCCAATTGCTAAACAGTTGTTTTGTTCACAGCAGATGTGGATTGACAGGTCAAGGTTCAGGAGTGCTTGTTATAAATAGGAGCTTCAGAGGCTTGAGTTCTAGAAGGGTGTTTGTGTATTCGGTGAGAACATGGATTGTGATTGTTCGGTGTATGGTAATGGACAGTCGAACGCCATCCTCTTCAACATCCTCAGCCGAGGCGAGTCGACTCCGAAGAGGGTTCCTCAGACGTGCCACTGCGAGAAACGCAGGACGGTTTGTCTGAAGACTCCCGGCGAGACGTGTCAGACCGCTTCAGACGTGCTGGTGAAGACCGTGCACTTCATGAAGAGCTTGCCGGCGTTCCAGCAGCTGCCACCTAAAGACCAGCTGTCTCTGCTGCAGAACTGCTGGGCTCCGCTCTTCATTCTGGGTCTGGCTCAGGACCGGGTTCTCTTCGAGGTGCACGACTCTCCGGCGCCCAGCATGCTGAAGAGAATCCTGCTGAACGGCCGAGAGACGCCGAGCTCCGATCCAGAGCAGCCCACGCTTCGAGCCTGCCTCAAGAAGTTCTGGAGTCTGGATTTAAGCCCCAAGGAGTACGCTTATCTGAAAGGCACCGTGATATTCAATCCAGGTACGGTCTCCAAAACCAACATGGTGTTGCACATTAACATATTTAGACACTAATTTATATGAAGTTATAATATCAAATACTACATACAAAAGTATTCAAATGTAATCATTCAAAATAATATATATATATGAAGAGTTTATTTGCAAAAAAGATGACTCTTTTTTTTCTTATTTTTTTATTTTCAAAAATCATGTTTTTTATTGTGTTAGTTAGCTGTTTTTTTTTTGTTTGTTTTTTAACCTAGTCAAAATAACCCAACTGCTGTTTGATTGAGATTAACTGGAATGCACAATGAAAAAACATGATTT